ATTAGTCACGACATCGATACAGCTTCTGATATTTGCTAATGAGAGAATTTGATTTAAAGTAAATAGTTGTGGTGCAGAATGTTTGATGTTTCATGAGTAATCCAGCTCGTCAGGGGTTGGACTACGACTACGTCCTCATATACGGCCGGAGTAATGTTTTTTTTATGTGAAAAGTTGCCAAACGAGCAGACGGATCACCTGATGTTAAGTGAATACCGTCGCCCATGAACCTCTGCTACCCCCGAGGGTTTGCAGATGCGTTGACAACGTTTTTGTAAATTGGCTACCTCACTCACCGAAACGTGAAAGTATTTGTCATACTTCCACTTTACGCCGGTCTTCTGTGAGGTCGCGGTACTTACCCGGACGAGCATGCCCATTCGTGCAACAGTCGAGGCTGCTGTGTGGCCCTATCAGCGTTGTATGTGACGTATTGTTTTCGTTGTAATGTATTTTTTACTGTGTAAAGTTGACAAGCGAGCAGGCAGTTCACCAGATGTTATGCGATAACAGCCATCCCTGGTCATGACCAGACCAGACCAAGCAAGAGCAGAAGGATTACAGATGCGTTGCTAACCATCAAAAAGTGGGTCCCGGCTACCTCGCGCAACAGATGAGTTGCGAAAGTACAATACTTTAACTTCACGCGGGTCTTCTGTGAGGCCGTGGTACATCCCCAGACGAGCCTGTTCGTTCATTCTTCCTCAGAATCAATTATTTTGCCGGAATTAAAATATTAATATTGAAGTGTATTTGAATTTTAATACTAATGTACTCTGCTTACTCGATTACACATTATTAATGAAACTATTTTTAAGGATTCATCCCGTTTATTTTTGTTTTTAGTTCTCATTTTAGTGTACAATTTCAGTTGTAACGTATTTGAACTTCGATGTTTTACCGAACCTGCGGCCATTTCGTGCAATCTCGCGGATGGCGTGGACCCTTTGCCAGTAATAATCATTTAAATTACTTATGCCATAAGTAGTATTTCTGACGATCAAATGCCGATTTTTTTCCAAGGGTAAATCCCCAAATCTTTACATCGATTAAAACATCGTAATTAATCACTTATGATTTATTGCCTTTAAAGTGGCCTTTTTTGTTTAATTTTGTTGAAATGCGTAATATTCAATGAGACGTGGTGCAATTTCTTGGCAATAGGGTTTGCCGCGTGGTTCAAATACAAACAATGTTGCGTCGAATTCGGTATTCGATTATTTTGCCGAGGCTATAATATAGCGAGAACCTGACCACCTTCTGTATGTTCGATATGATAATTCAGTGGCGCAGTTTCCAAGTTGTTCGACTCATTGGGTCGTCGGTTCGATGTCCGCACGGGACAGTTATTAGTACAAAATACTAATATATAATATACAAAATACTATAAGCGTGTACAAAGACAGTAAGACTGATATACTGACGAGTGGCGTTAAATCCAGTTGTGCGTCATTTTCTCAGAACAATTGACTTCGTAATTTCCCGCGCACCGCGATTATCACGATTATTGATCGGTGGTAAGTGAAATACAAAAACGCCATAAAAACTCTGTAGTAATTGCCATGATGTTAGTGCTGCTTCATAGATCAGATAGATATTTGTAAGCATAACCTCAAAATAGCAAATCGAGTTTAATGTGATTACAATTGGGGAGTGGTATTATTCCGGGAGATTTGTTTCGACGGTATATCTGGCTCTGTAACTTGATATAAAGTCAGCAAGAAAGGCCCTCGTAAGGAACCAGTTAAAAAATAGCTTTTTCCCAAATTGCCATAATATGACAACCCCTTTCAATTATTGTTATTATCTTTCATATATCTAATTACATTGTTATCTTTGCATATATGAAACAAAGAAGTTTTTTTGACACAACGCCACGAAAGTATACAAATATGACAAGCTTATAGACGAAAAAGTAATATTCAAGTTTTTTATGTTACTTGTCGCCTTCTTCAACAGTTTATGACAAAAATGCTGAAAAATAAGATCGTTCATTTATGTCCATCCATTCATGGCGAATTTATTCTGGGAATGGAAGCATCTAACAAGCGAAATATGCAAAAGAAATCTTTTAGAAAAGAAAATGTAAATAAATTTCTAAAAGAAAATGTAAACACGTTTTCTTTTAGAATAGTCGACATTTAATAAAATTTTCTTTAAGTCCAAAAAACGAGACACCTACTTTCAGATTAACTAGTTTCAGATCAAATGCGAAAACCTCATAACAACCTGGACCTGATAAAATAACAGGTGTGTTCAATTTGATTATGACTCCGTGCCGCAATCTCCAAGGTATTGGTTTCGGCGTCGGAGGTCGTGGGTTCGATTCCCACACCGGACAACTATTTGACCCACAGATTGTCGGCGCATTTGGATGTTTGTCCACGTGAAAGCTATATTTGTAAAACGTCCTTACAACACAGGATAATGTTAACGTATGGTCAGGGTAATGTTTTTTTAAAAAGAACTCAGGGGCATACCCGAGCACCAAACGTGACTCACTCGAAGGACTCCATTCAACATGGTGCCTGTCGTAAATAATCAAATAATTACAGTAAACATTAGTAACCGTGGTGTGAATAGTGAAAACACTGACTCAGACAAAGCATATTTAAAAGTCCTTGAAGAGAAGGTGATTATTTAACAACTAGTGTATGGAATCTATTGACTCAGAGGGCCTATAAGACGCACAGTGAAGACATCGTTCAATAATAGAAGAAAATCGCACGATAAGATGTGTATCTTAACATATGATTTTCTTCTATTATTCTTTAGATATACATATAATTTCAGATAGCTAGTATCTAACTTTATTTACGTAAAAACAAGCACAATTTTTAGTGATGTTTTTGCTTTCATTCTGTGGACTGTTATGCTCGTAGCTTCGTCGATCGCACGATAGGCTTTGACAAGAACAGTTCCAAAAGCAAGACTATTTATACGGTTGTTTTATGATTAAATTTATAAATAAAGTTTATGATTAATAGATAGTGTATATTTTTGCACACAGGAAAAATTTATATCTTTTTTAAGTTTTTGCTAAAACTATTTGGTGAAATATCCTTATCACAAGCCAAATATACACATCATAAGCCAGTGATGAACAAACTAATTCCATTCCTGAACCCGTTTGCATTACCAGAACTTAACCATGAATCCTTAAATCAAATAAAACTTATGATATGTACAGAGTGTTATGAAGTTTACGGTTAATGTGGAAAACATTTCAAATATTAATTGTATTCATTATTCATTCGTTTACATGTCATACAATTTTAATATCTTTCCCAATTATATATTTATCTACTATAAATATATTTGTTGTATATATATTACTTATATATTTTGTTTTATATTTGTATTTCACTCGTACTTGTAACAATTATTAAGTTATCGTACACTTATTGTCTTTTTAAACATGCTGTAACTACCTTTAAATGGAATCATGTAAATCTTAGTTTTTAAGACTATTGTCAGATTTAATTACAAAATAACATTTTTTTCCGTTAGTGGTTCTTAACAATAAATAAATAAATGTGTACCACTTAACATCAGACGGTTCACCTGATGTTAAATGAGTAACACCACCCATGGATCTAATTGCAGATGCATTAATAACCTTTTATAAAAAGTGGGTGTTACCACACTCAGCAGATGAAACGCGGAAGTATAATACTTCTACTTCACGCTGGTCCATTCGGGTGACAGCAGAACCAAAGCAAGACTCAATATTAAATTATAAAACTGTTTGGCGAAAATTTTTATCTATACCCTGTTCAAATATTTAACTATTGCGTGTTTGACATTAGCGCGAACGTAAGCAATTATTGTTTTCTTAAATGAATTTTTGAATATTTGTACAATATTGCACATAAATCCTAACTGTCTCCACTTCTCCATGAACTTTAGCAACGTAAAATCTTACTGTCCTCCGCGCGCGCCGCATTCTCAAATTATTCGAGTCACATGTTAATGTATAGGGGTTGTAATATGTACAAAAAAGATGTACAGTTCGTTCTTTTTAAAAACTCTAATATAACGTATTCATTTAATAAGACCTCCTCAGCAGCACTGGCTGCAGACGTCCCGTAGCGGCTGAGCTCGATTTAAAAAAATAAATAATCCAAAAGCGTATTGTTCGTCGATCGTTGACCGCCACCTGGAACCGGTCTCCAGACAGCGACGCCCCGAACCCTCGTCTGTAGCCATCACGACGCCGCTTTGTTATCCTTATCACAGACCGAACCCACACGGCCTGTTTGTGGCAAAAAAATATTTTGATTCGAATTAATTCCAGTCTAACTAAATAGACTTTATAAATATGAATTTTATTTCTATCAAGCCGTCTAAATTAACGGGTCTATTTTTATATGATGTGTTTCATGGCATTTTTAGCATTGAACGCTTTTAAAATTTGGTAGTTTTAAAATTATGTCACTGTTACGTTTTTTCTACGTTCTCTGTTATTTATAAGTTTTTTGCGAGGTTATTGGCACGACCGTGCCAAGAGTTCTCACGATTGACGAGCATATTGGCAGAGGAATCAACCGTGACATGCCACTTATGTCATTTTTTGATCTGTTGTCAAACTGAATGGATTGGTTTCTCTAGCGCATGTTCAGTAAATAATGCGTTTTACTAAATTCATTGCACCTCCCGTTTATAGACCGTATGAGTTAGGCCTTATCATTTTAGTTCTCCACCTGATATTAAGGCAAAAAGTCGCCAACTTAAAGACAGTCCGCTCACAGCCGCGACACTGGACGCACCTGCGCGCGTTCTAAATTCGAAATTTACGTGGCCGCTCGCGCATGTGCATTACGTGACGAAATGTAATTGCATTTTGAAAATAGAACTCGTCAACTGCATGGCAAGGAGAAAAAAAATAAACTCACCAGTGTAAATAATCTGTGTAAATAATTATATTTTTAGTGTTTTATAAGTGTTATAAATTAGGTGAAATTTTATTTTTAAATTTCTTTAAAATCCTGTGATATTAGCGTTTAAGGAGTCCAAGTGGAAAATCAACTGCAAGTAAGTATTTCTCATTATATTCTTTTTTTTTTTTGTTAGATTTTGGCATGCATCAACTTTATTTTTATAATGTGCGTAGCACCGGTTTGCTAGTTAACAGCAGTTTTTTCACGTCGGTTTTATTCTCTGCTATTTGTTGTTGTACTTATTTTCTATTTTTAAGTGTACAGATTAATCAATCTCCCGAAAGTTTATGTCAGCGTGTTAGGCACGCTGTCATCGCAGGTAAATTTTTGTACAATGGACGGTTAAACCGTACCTTTAATAAATTCCCGTCGCCCGGATGTAAAAATAAATACGTTCAAAAGAATTCGTTTACAAAAAGAACATATATTTGAAATCTCTCTCAATTGGTCTCGTATTACGCATCATTGCCGTCCTGTTTTAATTTTGCAAAAAAAAAATCAGTTTAAATTTTTAATTTATTAACAGCCAGTCATTTTATACTTAATTACATTAAAGCGAACAAAACTATGCAGACAGTATATTTGGAAATATTTTCTAATTCATAATTAATCACTTGTTATTTATTTACCATTAAGTAATAGTCTATAAGTCTTACGTAGTATTAAAATTTAATAAGGTTTTATGATGTCTCTAAGGATTTTCATAGAAATGTCATTACGTTCTTATCTCTCGAAATTGATCGTCAATAAATCTTTATTCCAAAGCGCTCTTCGGAAATATTAAAGCACAAGTGGCATATTCCATCGTTTTATAGACCTTCCGTTTGTCCGTGACATTATAAGCTGAGAAATGAATTTTGTATCCAATTGTTTCAGGCATTTAGACTTCAGCTATTCAATACAGACTGTCAAATAGGGTCAATCACTGTGTCTACTCCATTTTATAAGGAAATGTAAAAAATCTTAACATTTGTATAAAACGTTTAATAAACTTCCGCGTGTTTAAAGTATCTTTCTACAATGCATAGCATTACCATACATTAGTACGTTGTCAGTTTTTACTTCAATGTCACGAACACGACAATCTTTGTGGAAGAGTCAATAAGAATTGCCTTACATGCGCATAGTAATTTATGTTTGCTTTCGTAAACACGTTCTATAGCGTAGGCACTATTACCATGTTTGTTTAATTGCTCTTTATGTCACTCACTATTCATGAAGTGAACGACAAAGGTGGACGGATGATTACGAAACTTGATTACGAAGTTTAAAGTGAAGAGTTTTATATGTACTTTTTATGTGAAAATCGGCCGAGCAGGCCGCTTACCTGATGTTGAGTGGCTACGAGTCGTCACGGGGGTTGTATCGTGTATCCGAAAAAACCTGAACATTATATTACATAAAATTCTAACTTTCACGCGAATAGTTTTCAAGCGATCAGGCGGTTCACCTGACGTTGAGTGACCACCACCGCCCGTGGACGTCTACAACACTCGGGGGCTTGAAGATACGTTGACAACCTTTAAAATAAGTGGGCCACGGTCACCTCACTCGCCGAATGGAACGCGAAAGTTCACTTCCACTTCACACTGGTCGTCTGTGAGGCCGTGGTACATCCCCCGAAGCGCCTGCCGAAACAGCCGATGCCTTTGCGTGGCCCTACCACTGTTAACGTACGTCAGTAATTTGCTACGCGCTTGGAAAGCGGCTTATTCAAATCCTTTTAGTAAATAAATAAAAAATCTCGTTATTGTTACGTAAGAGGATAGATTAAAAATATGGCTCGAAAGTGAACAGGGTGCACGGTCTAGAAGTGTATTTTAAAATGGACGGGACGAATTATTATTCTGTAATGACTGCCTCTCCTCTAAGGGTATAAGCGTCAGTGTATGAATTTGTTAATATCGTAAGGTTAACAATGAAAACAAAAACATTAATTGGAGTACACAGGATTATCCTTACTTCCTTACTAATATTATAAAGGCGAAAGTTCGTATGTATGGATAGATGTTTGTTACTCTTTCACGCAAATACTACTGAATGGATTTTAATGAAACCTTACAATAATATATCTTATACATCAGAATAAGACATAGGTTATAATTTATATAGGTACATATTTTATGAATATCTGTCTTTCTGTCTGAATGTTACGCCTTCAGCCTTTTCTACGCAGACGCAGTCGCGGGCAGCAGCTAGTTATGAATAAAAAGGAAAATATTTACACTGCACTAATAATACCCAGTGTAATACACGCAAAAAGTCCGCTACTCTGTACAGATGGGATCTGTCCGGAGGAGAAGTCAGAATTCTGAGGAAACAGTGAGATCTTTTCTTCCACGTATCTTTAGACTTTTTTTTCTTTCTTTATATCTTTACCTCCTTATCCATATCCTTACCAATACTATAAACACGAAAGTTTATATGTATGGATGTTTGTTACTATTTCACGCAAAAAGTACTGAATGCATTTTAATGAAACTTTACAGTAATATAGCTTATCCATCGGAATAACACATAAGAAATAAATTAGATATTGAGTTAATTATCCAAAACAAGTATATGTAGGAACAAAATTCTGCCAGAGTTCTTCTGGTGTATAATGAAAAAACCTTTTGACCGCGCGCACGGAACTGCGGTTATCAGCCATTTAGATATAAGAATAAACCGCAGCCGCGGTCTAATAAGCCTGAACGCGTTAGATAACATGTGATCGCGATTTCAACATAAGAGGAATAACGGATAATGAAAACTCTCAGTTAGAACTCAAGCTTAGGGACCCGCAACTACAAGCATGCTATGACCAAAAGGTTTAAAATTTAACTCTAATCCAAATACTCTTCGATCTCATATCTTATCCTAGAAGGGAAAACCGCTATTCACGAGTGTTATCGTTGTTAAAATGCCAATAAACTTTATCGTGATAAGTGTTAAATTTGAATCGTACTATTGGAATTTAACGAAACATGTGCGGGAGTTTATGATATTTTTTTTTAGAAATATCCAAATATTGTCCTCAAATATTAGATACCACAAAGTAAAGTAAAAGTAAAGATTTGTAGAAAAGTTTATCGAATCGAACCCGCGTTTTCCGGAATAGCGCCAAGAAACCACTAAGTGAAACGGCTGGTTGCCACGCAGAATCTCACCGTATTTTATCTTTATTGTTCTTTTTAATTTTAAGCAACGACCAATTTTAAATATCGTTTTACTACGATAATTCCGAAAAGAGAAAAATTTTTCACCGCCGCTAGAATAGAACCCGCGTCTAAAGAACGGCCCGCCGCGCCGACGAAATTCTCAGCCTATTTTATCTACATTATTCTTTCCGTACTGTAAGCTGCGAGTATGCTTGGCGCATCTATTGTATGCATTTTGTTATTATTTAGAAAAGATGCAGGTTTCAACACGATGTTTGAGCATGATGATTGAGTAATATCAGCAATTAAATTAAAAATTTAATTGAATGTCGGCATCAACCGGGATTCGAACTCAGGAAGCGAGCGCCCGGACACTGAGCTATGACACAATACAGCCTCAACACAATACAGTACAATGCGGAGTTTGTACAACATTACTATGTAGGGGTTTTGACGAACGATTTGAATATTCAACGTGAAGTGCAGTAGTTGAGACGGTCGCCCTGCCAACTGCTAGTGTGCGTCGTGTTCTGGGTTCGAGTCTCACACGGCCAACGATCGTTGTTCGACACGGGTGTGTATTGTCAACGGCAAGGTCGTTTAAAATTGAAAAGAAAACAATATTTTTAATAACAAAGAAAAAACCTAGTTCAAGTATCTCACCATACATTTTCTATTTGATTTTGGGATCCTCATGTATCTCTCTATACCATGGTCCGATACTAGTGAAATTAATATTGGCCCTATATGGGGTGGATAAACCGACTCGAATGCAAAGATAGTTTATAAAATCCGTTCATAGGTGACCGAGTTCAGAGTTCTGTAATAAAAATATAACAGCCGCATCGAGAAGAACCTCATCCTTTTTTGAAGTCGGTTGAAACAATTAGATGCAATTAGAGGGTGATCGGAAAGCGGTAAAAACATTGTGAGGAAACCTGCATATTTTCGAAACAACAACAAAAAAGAATATTTCGAAGATATATGAAGTCCGCCAATCCGCAGTGGGGCCGCGTGGTGGACTATGCCCTGATACCCTTTGTACAGAGGAGGCCTTTGCCCAGCAGTGGGATATGTACAGGCTGTTACTTTACTTTACTTTACAGGGTGATCGAGTCTTGTGTTAACGGAAGCAACGCTTTCAGCCCGAACGCTATATCAAGCTTTATCGATAACTCAATCAAGTCAGTTTCCAAGAGTTGGATGGACTCTAAACTGGGATTCAATAATGTCGGTACGCGTGCACTTACCATGTGATGATTAAAAATAATACGCTTTATAGAAAAAATAAAAACGCATGTATAATGAATAGAAATAAAGAACGTTTAAAGTACGCTTATGGTGTTTTGAAATTTGTATTCATGATTTTTTTTTTCTTTTATTGAGACTGACCTTGATTAAGAACGATTCGCGTTCATTCTTTGAATTGTGTTTCAATACGGGCCTCGGGATTTGCATAAGTCGTGCCGCAATGGGGATGGGGAAGGCGTTGCCATGGTAACAGACAATCTATCCGCGCACGCCGCCTTTAACGTCTTAACGTCGGTAATAAACTAAGCCCTTAGTTTATCTCGAGTTTAGTTGTAGTTATGCGAATAGAAGATATTATAATGACGGATTTATTCCCAAAGGGCGTTCGATTTTAGCTAGATGTTTAAGCAAGCCAAATTGAAATCCCAGTTTGACTGCTGAAATTCTTATTAGCGCTTGTAAGAGCAATTTGCCGATTGCTCGTCGCTGAAAGAAAACATCAAAGTATCAGAGATATGAGAGTCCGTTAATATGTACTTAGGCCACGTAGCCAAGAGCCCTAATATTGCTTATACACTTAGACATATGTTCAACATTGGGAAATTTGTGCTAACTGAGAATTTAATTGTGGAAGGGCCAAGCAAAGGTCATCGCTGTTGCACAAAAGGGGAAAGTCCCTCCGGGAAGTACCACCACCTCGCAA